AGAGAGAGAGAGAAAGAGAGAGAGAGAGAGAGACAGACAGACAGACAGAGAGACAGACAGACAGACAGACAGAGAGACAGACAGACAGACAGATAGAACAATAATAGGGAAATGATAAGACACGCTGACAGATATGATATAGATAAACCTGTAGTATGTTTTTTCCCTTACATGTCCACGTTTCTTGTGCCTCCAACTCAATCCGTCTGAACAAGTGCATACAATTATAGTAATTATATACAAATGTCACAGCTGTATTTCCCAACATTGGCGCCCAAAGCAGAACTTCTGCCAGAACTATAAGCTGTTAGAGAAAACACACGATTCAAGAGGTCTCCTTGTTATCGGAAAAGCAAACAAGATTTACCTGTGCGTGCATTGCAAGTCCCGATTACAAACCTCGCATGGGGAGACGATAATAATGATTACAGGTTACTCCTCGTAAATATTATTCCACAGAAAAATCACTTCACAATGAGACTGTTAACTTACACTATAGGCAGCTTCAGCTCTTTTACAGGATGGGACACTCCTCCTACGGAATGACTGAAGTTCCTCAGTTTTGGAAAACACATTAAATCTGTTTCAGGATACTGAAAGGGTCAAAGCGTATATCGGCCGTGGCTGACTGCACACAACTTCCACAGTCGCAAAAAAAACTTCGACTGGTCTCTGAGCTTCGTGTTCACAGATTACAGATCGCGCCGAGATCTCTACCACCTTCGGAATTACCAGATCGATCAACACGAAGCGGCCATTGTTATCATGAATCGACGTGCCATGGACTTACCCCTCCTCCATTTTCGCCGCTGTGCTGGTGGTAGTAACGAGTGAGGAGTGGAAGGAATGAAGGGGGTTGGGGGTGCGATTCACTCTCCGAGCTTAGGCGACGGTATCACGCTGAAAGGCCAAGCCCCGGCGACAATGAGGACTTGCAGACAAGTCCACGCACGACTGTGACCGCCTAAATTAGGCCCGGCCGCAGAGCTAAGAAAAACGACAAAGGTTGCAGCAGTGCAACGGCGAGCCAGAAATCGAGTTTTGAGAAGCAAACCATTGTACCTTGAAAATTAAACTTCTCATTTGTCGAAATGATTGGTATACAGAGTAATACTAATTATCTCTCTAAGGAACACAGGTATCAGTAGAAAGAAACATTTTTGTTGCAATTAACCAAGGACGTTGTAAATACGACCAGTCGAGTGGAGTAGCGCAGTGTTAATAATTTCAAAGCGTTGGTAGGCTGTTTTCTGTTATAAGTTCAGAGTTCATCACTTTACAGCGTTATCAGCATTTCCTGATCAGGTTTTCATTGTTGGTGAGACCATGCAAAACCGCACAAACAATGAACATTACCATACAGCAGCTTTAGCATTCGCTGAAAAGTAACTGTACCTTTCGACTTTCAGTCTCTCTCCACTTCTATGGGCCTGTCTGTCTTGTTTGTGGTTACTTACAACTAATCAGTCTAACTATGTTTACCAACCGTGTGTTCGCGTGTTGCGCTCCGTGTTACCTTCACCCCGATCTGTACCCAACACATCACGCTCCTCAAACATCGGAGGAACTGAATTGGTGTGAAACAAGAGTCCGCGTGTCACATGAGTGGGCACCGGGAGAACAAGGTACAACACTATTATTTTGTTCGAGTGGCCTACCGTTGCAGAACGAATGAAACGAAATGTCTTTCTTAGCACCCTGAAATTATTGACATTCCACCAACAAGCAATACGGAATGACCCGAAAGACTTAAAAATACCACGGTTTGGCACTGGCCGGAAACGTGACAGCTCTCAAGCTCGTTGATCGATGACAACAACAACAACAACAACAACATCATCATCATCATCATCATCATCATCATCATCATCATCATCATCATCATCATCATCGTCATCACACGAATGAAAAACGATGACAACAACTGTATCAACTCTATATCCGGGCCGGTAGCATGAACTCAAACACCGAGGGTATGTTCAATAGCGGATAACATCTGGGATTCAAGGGTTGACCGAGTGGCTTGACAGTGGAAAAAGACCTCCTTAATTGTGGTCCGGTGGCACCAACCACGCAAAATTATGCAGAGCTATTTCACATTTGTGTAATCTATACTCTGGTGTAGAATTTTCCACGGAGGTGTCCCAAAATTCTTCTGCCGATCAAAAGGTAAACAAGTAAGGCTGCACACTGTTTAAATTTGGCTGACCATACCGCGGCCTAGTTCATGAGGTTGCATGATCCTTGAGACCACTCCGCTTCTACTGTCTATATTGCTTTACTTTTCGTTCAATGTTATTCACCTCACTGATTAAGCTGTGAACTAAAATCACTTTGAATATGACGCTGAGGAGAGGTCAAGGAATGCAAAGGGTGGAGATGAAAAGAAGTTTGCGATACGAAACACCATAATCTGGTATACAAACAGGCATTGTACTCGTACGCGCTCACAATAACAATTACACACACGCATTCACACACACACACACACACACACACACACACACACACACACACACACACACACACACACACACACACACACACACACACTCAAAAACAACAACACAACAAAAAACAAAAACAACAACACGTATAGTACACAGAAAGGGACACACACTCTTTGATTTTAACCCCCCCCCTATACACATATACACACATACTTTATACACACATACAGGCATACACCACACACAAAGACTATGCCCATAGACTTGTTTTCCTAATCTGATCTCAGCGGAGAGGGATACAACATCCTCAGCAGAAAGACTGAATAACTGGATAATCTTTTTCTTATCACTCGGGAATCGAACTCGGGTCTCCTGCGTGCAACAGCGTTGCACCAAACCGCTTCACCACAGACGCTACTACAACAAATGTTATCCATCACCTGGAAGATTAAAGTACGAAACTATGCGGGGTTCAACTTATTTGCCTCTTCCCCTGAGATACATTATCTTTGCAGCCAGGTGTCTTGACAAGGGTCAAAACTCCTTTGCTTTAAGAATGACCTGCACAGTATTTACCAAAGCATGATACAACTCCAACAGCAGTATTTCGGGTCACCAAGATTTCGGTCTTTTTTTTTTTTATAATAGAGGGTTTTACGGCGCTCGCAACTGCATAAGGTCATATGAGCGCCAGATTTCGGTCTGAACAGCTATTTCTCCGATTTCTTTCTAATCGTTTCTTTATTCGCCACATCGTTCTTTGTTAACATAATTATCTGTTCTGTCCATAGATGTTTCGGTCTTCATCCAACGCGCCGCTACATCCCAGTAGTTGGGTTTAATTATCATGCTGAGTTATGGTGTGGACAACCAGGGTTCGAATCTCCAAGTGCAGTGCTCTTGAACTTGAGTTATTTTGGACAGTTTTGATTTTGATAGAATCGCTGTAGTGTTGGGGGGATATTGAACCCATGCTACGCAAACTTCCAATAGATTGTCTTCATTTTTGCTGCGTTCAGTTCAATATTGTTTGTTCATAGGTAGGCAGGATAAAATTGACTGGACTCTGAGTCTAATTCTGAGAAAAATCACATGTATTCCATACTAAAGGTATCGAGTTCTTTGTGATGTGCAAGGAAGGCTACAGCCATCCAAACCTAACAAACCATATTTTACTTTCTTACATAAATAGAAGAAAACTTACTGTATGGAAAAAGTCTACAACATCTCATGATCATTTTGGCAAGGACGAAAACAACAACAACAAAACAAAACAAACAACCCCCCCCCCC